ACAAAAACCAATTTATTATGAATATGTACCCAATTTTATCAATTATGCATCACTTGGTATGTTTCCTTCAGCGCTTGTATGGTGAAATGTGTAAAGTTTTCGTTGTTTCACAGGTGTCATTATTGGTCATGAATTAGCGCATGCATTTGATATGAAACATAATCGGAATGATTCTTGTACAAAAATTTGGTGGTCATCTAACTCAATGAAACAATTATTTAAAGAACGTTTAAAATGTATCGTTAAACAATACCATTCTTATTCAATTAAAGAAATTGCCAATCGTACGTTGAATAGTGAAATGCAATTAGAAGAAAATATGGCTGATAATGGGAAGACACTTCATCATCGTATTAAATACCCTCTGTTTTTCATCTACATTTTTCAGGTGGTGTACATTTTGCATTTGATGCCTATAAACATGATACAAATACCGGTGACGATGGTACACAAAATTTAAAATTACCAAACATGGAAGATTATACAAATGATCAATTATTTTTTATTTATTTTAGTCAAATGTGGTGTAGGTAGGTATCAACAAGATCTGATTAAAAAACTATGTGCATCGTTGATGTTATAGTAAATTAAAATCTGAACAATTATTGGATCGTTTATTACACGATGAACATGCACCATCAAAATATCGCGTTATCGGTACATTATCAAATATGAAAGAATTTTCAGATGCATTTAAATGTTCGTCTGATTCTCCCATGAATCCATCGACTAAATGTTCATTATGGTGAAAACATGTTTTGTTTATAATACGATTGTATTTAACCGATGTTTTAATTGTTTTTTACACGTTTTCGAGCTTTCTTCTTCTATATGAAACAACAAATCACACTTACGTTTTTCACACGTTGAGTTTTATACGCAAGTTGTGATAATAAATCGATGTCTGTTTTTCTAATTAATAATTCAAGATACAAACGAACATGATTTATGACCCAGCTGGTACTAATTTCTGGGTTTATTCTTAATGTAATGTATTTATTCTGAATTGATCATTGTTTACCTTATATTGTACATAAAAACTGGTGTGCTCCTGATCCTCAGTGCTCCTGATGACAATGGAAAAATCACATGTGATAATTTCTCATACACATGAGAAATACTTTGATTAAGCATTGTTACTTCTCTCAGGAAGTTCTCTAGTTCTCACAATTCTCCAATTTTCAATAGGGTATATATTCATTATGTGTCTCTTATGTAATGCACAAACAGAATCGTGTAATAAACATAGTAGTGATGTTTGTACTACTGATTCTCAGCTTACATAATACATACATAACGAGTTTGTTAACATTATTGTTGTTAATAAAAAAGAATGAAGATGAAGACAGACACTTGTGATTATTGTTTGATGTCAAGATTTTAGAAAACACTAACTTATTGCATATTGCTTTTTTTCTTACTTAAGAATAAGATTTCTGCGAATAGTTTAAAAATTCTTTAACTTTCTTTGTTTTTAATTATTATTCGTTTAAAAAAAAGACTTCAAACAGTCATGCTATACGAACGATGGGCAAAATGCCAGAATTATGTTCGCACTACACAGCCTACGTTCGTCTTAAGGATTTCTATTGGATAAAAGTTAAGCCATACTTCCCTAGTGGAATTTCTTGTACTCAAGATCTTGCACAAGGTCTTGATTGAATGGAGTCAAAATATTTGGTTCAAGCACAATCCTGGCGAAGAACTCATTTATTTCTTTGTTATTAGATCGATATATATGATTACTCTAATCGAGCGCTCAATTTCAAAATGTTTCTAGAAAACTTTATTAGACTAAAATATCTTGCTGATTAAAAACAATGATTCACGCATAGGATTGATGACCTACGTTAGTAGTGTGGACTATTCTTCTCTTAACTCAGACTTCAGCGTGAAAAAAGCGATTGAGATAAGCTAGTAGCAAACGTTGGGAGCTAATCACTATAGTCAACTTTTCGTATCACTTTTCGCGTTGATTGTATCTCCCATCCTAACTTAACCAGAAAAAGTACGAACATGGCCTATCATCCCCTCGAACATGACTGATGTCTTTCGTTCGCCCTTCATTTGACGAGCTCTTTAGCCAATAGGATATTAAATTTACAATTTTGTTTAGTTTAAAATGATGTTCTTACATTAAGCCACGTTCACATTCAGTGGCGGCGCGAAGAAAAAACAGCAGGGTGGTAGTTTCAATGCTGGTAGTTTCAGGGTGGTAGTTGCAAAAATCAGAGTACGTTCAAAAACATTTTCTGGCAAGTTTGATAAAGTAAAAGAAATAATACAAAATTCGCCATTTTTTCTTTTCGAATCTACTCATTCGATTCTTTTACAAAACTGGAGTAAGTTTCCCGCACTTCTGGCTCAAATCGGAGCAAATTTCCAACGAAATTTCTGAAAGCAGGGGGGTGTACACACTCCTCATACAAACAATCACTTCGGCACTATTCACACGACACTTTTTAACTTAATTTCATCCAAATCCTAACCGAGTTCGAAATGACACCGTTCAGACGCTCTTGGAGATTGACCAGTGTGAAAATACTGAAAATTACCTCGAATAATTTGCGGGACGCTGTATGAGCTATAAATGCGCTTCGAATTGCATATGTGTATAAGTTATTTGATCATAACGCATGTGTAGAAGATGTAGCTAATCACTGATTGATCGATGTTTAATAGGGGGTCCTTAACCTAGTTCTATAAACTTGGTTAATTTAACTAAGTTAGCAAATTGCCAAACTGAGTTCTTAAACTAAGTTAACAAACTGAGTGCGCTCACACGGGACAAGATTGGAAAGATTAGGATTAAATAAGTTAAAATGTGTCGTGTGAACGTGGCTTTATTGTCACTTCTCCCGATCTGTTTCTTACTTTTCTTGTTTCCTCTGCTCTGATCATCGTTGATTTTAAATAAAGCAACACGCACAACTAAGAAGTTATCAGATCAATTTCTGAAATCTCTATTCATTCATTGTCTCAAAACATAGGCACTCTCAGTTATAATCGTACGAATGGCTCCATTAAGCAAGAAAGTTGTATAAGTTTCTTGAAAGCAAAAGCGAATTTTTACGTGTTTTAACGATATTCATAGTGAATTTTTATGCCGATTACCATAAGAAAAAGTTGAAATTTTGAATGTTATAAGAAATAAACATTTGAATAATATCTTGACCAGTTTCTAAATTATGAAGTAACATATCAATTTAAGACGAATAACTATCGCTATAGACAGATATTTAGAGTTTTTAAATCAAATCAGTTGGAGAATTTAGAATACAAAATATATATCAAAAAATCAATCAAGAACTGTGTGATAAATATGCATGATTTTTGATAGATGAAATAATATCGTCTGAGGAATAAAAACATTAAACCTAAATTATAGTTATGTAATTTTCAAAAAAGGACAATAATATTCTTAGTCGAATACGCGATTATGTATGATTGGTTGTCGTTTTTAGATTTATGAAATTAGTTTATGGATCAATTTTAATTCTATTTATTTCATTAACTCTGTCCTATTTTATGGCATCTAATCAAAGCGACAATAATACACATCAAGAAATTGGAGGATTTAGTGTCGACAGCGAATTGAAGGATAACGTAATGGGATCAAAGTTATTAGTGTTTGGTGCAACAGTAAGTTACCCTTCTTCTCTCTCTCTCGCTCTCTCGCTCACATTCTCGGTTCAACTATTATTTCCGTCTATAGGGACCAACTGGAGAATTGTTTGTTAAAAGAGCTCTACAATTGGGTCACACTGTTACAGTAGTGGCTCGAACACCAGAAAAATTTGCTCTAAAGTAAATACAGACCGATTTTTGCTACATAAAATTACTTTTATTTTTAACAGACCACACGAACGTCTTCATGTAGTTCAAGGGGATGCTACGAATCTCTCTTCGTTTGAATCACATGTCAAGGGACATAGTGCTGTTATATCAGCAATTGGTGTACATGGATCTTCACCATGGAATAAAACAAAATTATACTCATTAACCATTACAAACATCATCGAAGCCATGAAAAAGTAAACAATAATAAAAAAGATAATAAAAAAGATTCAATAATAATTTATCTTATTTAATTTTTCTATTGCCATAGTGCAAATGTTAACCGTCTTGTTTGTATCACATCATGGGCTACATCAAAAGAACAAAAAGATGGTGCACCATTTTGGGGACAAATCTGTAAGTCAACTATTATAGCAGGATTTATTCATGATATGCGTTTGATGGAAGAAATTATAGAAAAGGAAAGTAATTCTATTAATTATACGATTGTTCGGCCGCCAGGACTCGGTAATATATCACCCACGCAAGTTCCAGATAATATTAAATTACCAGAAGATCTTTCAAATTATCTCATCCAATCTAGATTAATTGCTGGAAAACATACAACATTTTTGAAAAATGCAAAATTACTTTCATTATGGCGTGGTTTAGTGGCTGATTTTATGTTACATTGTTTGTATACGAAAGAATACGATCGAACAATGGTTAGCATTGGATTACCAAAATGAACATAGTGTTTATATCTGTTTTATAATGATTTTCAATGAACAATATTTTTTTTTGTAATTACTGTTATGTTTTGTCGTAATAGCCACTGCAGCCACTGTAGACATTTGAGTATGTAAATATATCTTTGTTACTTTTCTCTATAGCTATTTGTCTTCTAATTGGTTTGCATCTAATGATATCATTCGTTTTTAATAGCGCAATGTTTTTCTTTCTACAATTTGCTATGTTCTACAAAAAAATAACAGTGTTATCATTTATTATTTATTCTTCTTTCTATATTTTAATGAATTTTATATATTTTCACTTTAGTTTCTCAAAGCTATTTTAGAATTGTTCAAAATAAAAATACGTCATTTCATCATATTCAAGATTAGTTGACTAAGAAAGTGATCTTATAAAAAAAAATAAGTGTTATCAAAATGCACATTATAAAATAGTAGAAAACACGCTATTCAGTGATGAAAAGAGTGTATTTATGGACAAGGTTGTGGACGAGAGAGGAATCGTTTCCATGCTGCTTTCAAGTATTGTTTCATATCTTCATATTGTTGTTGTTTGGTATAAACTACAACAGGTGCACTCTAAAAAGTGAATCACACCCATGTACACATCCATGAACAAACGAACAAATTTATTGCATACCAGTATACGAGTCCGTATCTTTCCCATATTCTCCTCCAAAACGAGTTCAATTTTAAAAAGTGATTCACTTGGCTGCTGAATACTAAATAAACAAATAAAGCAAAAAATTTATTAGTTATCAAAAACTCATGAAAGATAAAGATAGAAATTAATTGGAAAAGAAATATCACATCATTTATAGAAACAACATTAACAAATCTTTTGAAGCCTTCTTGTGTCGTCTCACATTTCGTCTGTTCGTGCTAAGTATTTACTGACTGAATGCACAGGAAATGATTTTTAACCCTCATATTTCCATATGTGCGATGTTCCGCCTAATTTCTGGAATCCGTTCAAACCACAAGAATATTAGAGTTAGGTGATAAACTCTCTTATGATAGCATTGCTATCACTCGTACACTCATCAGCATGCAAACTTTTCTCTCATCTCTTTCAAATATCATATTGAAATGGTGTTCTTGTCTAAACTACACAACTTTTATGTCTAAAACGTTCTGAATTATCATTATACCAGCATTATCTTTCTTCACTATTCATGACCGTTTCAGTTTACAAGTAGGAAATCAGTGGCATCACTGCAACGAACTATTAATCGTAAAAGCAAAAATAGAAAAAATCGACAATTAAAAGAAATGAACTGTAAGTGATCATCATTTTTTTTCCAGAATATTTCACAACAACTTTAAACAGACCACATATAATTCTAAGCAAGCGAATGGGACATGACGGATTCACTTACATGAGGACTGTTTTTCGACGTATGTCTACAAATAGTAATACATAACCGGATGCTGACAGATATGTTGGTTAGAATACTCTAGGAGTCATTCTTAACTCAATGATTTTTCAGACATTCTCTACTTACTTTGATAAATAATCCGAGTTTACGTCGGTTATATCAAATGTTGTATTATCAACTTCACGAGTGGAATCGGACATTAATGTACGAGCTAAGACCTTTCGTCTTGCCTCGATATTCTAGAATAGTGTCAGACAAATATTTTAGTTTATATTAATCTATAGAATGAGCTATAATACTCATACCATAAGATTATAACGTTGTAATTTTGCTATTTGTGGTTTACTTGTTTGACCCATTCGTTGATGCCAATCTTCTAAACGTTCTTCAAGTTTTTTCAATGCTTGATCGGATACCATTGTATCACCTGATGTTGTATAAGACGGATTTGTACTAGAATTAGAATCACGACGAATCATTGTAGGTGTTTGTCGAGTTTTTGTTTGTTGATTTGTAGTTCGTTGATGTCGACGATTAGATTTTGGTGTCTAAATTAGAAAAAAGTTATATCATTTATTATTCTATTTTTTATGTTAGAGTAAATACATTTTGATATATTTGTATCCATGTTCGTTTTTGTTGATAATTATTGTTACTCATTAGATCGTTTTCATTTCGTTTTTCTAATTCAAGTGTTAGTAATCGTATTAATGGTATCGATGAATAAATAAAACGTTGTTTATAAGCAGAAAATGTTAATAAAACAGTTTCTCGCAATTTTTCTGTTAAACCATGTGAAGCCATTCGTTTTTGTAAACGAATAAGATTATGTTTTAAAATGTAAAAGATATCACATGAACTAGTACAACGTGCTGTTTGCATATGTGTTTGTAAATCGCATACATATTCTTCCAATGCAATAATATCACCGGCTGTTAAGAGAGAAATTTGTAGCATTCGTTTTTTTAATTCTTGTTCAGCTTGAGCAAATGTCATATGTCGACGTTTTATTGCGTAACTTTGTTGTTTTGCTTGTTGTTCAATTTTTTGTGAATAATACGGTGATGAATTTGAATTTGGTAAATTATTTAACATAGGCAGAAATAATTCAAAACCAGCACTAGAAAAAAGACTTCTAAATACTCATAAGTGACTCCTTATTAATTAATTAAACATACGATTTGAATGGATCTGATTTGGCTAGTTTAGACGATGATAAAATATTTGGATATTGTAGCCAGTGAAGTAACGGATCAATAATCAATTTTACTTCGCCACTATATTAGTATTAAAAGAATGAGAATTATTCTTATTAGAAAATAGATCATTACCTCCAAATAAAATAGACAGCATTAGCTCTTTCTCCTTGTTTAAATAACAGTGCATCGAATGAAAAACGTCCACGCTCTAAATTGAGAGAAACTAAACGTTTCATTCTTGGATTCCATGTGGAAAACATTGGACATTTGTTAATAAACTCGGTTTTCTCTTGTAATTCTTTTTCATGAGCCCATTTTAGTGTTCTAAAGATTAAAAAAAGAAAATTACATATAAAACTAATATCATCCTTGATCCTTTTTACCTATTGAAAACATCGCGATTAACCACGAGAAGATCAGTATATGTTGCTGTAATAACTGTGGCACTTCTAGGTTCATGTGTAATTAGAGCACGTTCACCAAAATCCAAACCAGCGCCTGAAAAGGAATACTATATAGCGTTTAGTCAAACATAAAATAATTCTTTCAGTAGTCTTTTCCAGCTAGTGGTATTTTGTCAAGATCTTGAGGAATTCAAAAGTTTCTGCAAAAAAACTTCAAATTCTTATAACACTGGAAAGAAGACAAGAAAGAGAGGTGTTGGATAAAAAATATATCCCAGACCATCGAAAACAGTATAATTAACTGTCTATTAAACATCCATTTATAATCTCCAATGTTTGTTGAATGGACAGACTGAATTTACTACATTTTCAATATTTTTGGTTCTTTAGATCATGGCATCATCATTAGTACTAGTCTCAGAACTAGAGGCTACTTCCTCGAGACAAGTTTCGATAACTTTCATAATCAAAGAAGAGAAAAATTCTAAGTTTCTTCAAAAAGGCTTCCCCACACCTGTTTTTTTTCACCAGTTTGTAGACGACACTTCGAAGTATACGTCTCAACAAAGCTTTCAGTTCTCGGATTTGTAGTTTTTGATAAAAAAAACTTTGAAGTTTTTTCCGGGTTTTCTGCCCTATTTTTAGACTTTCAATAAAAACTTCGGCTTTTTATATGAAGAATTGATTCTGGCGTAGGTCGATAGAGAACATTAACTTGTATAAGGAGAAAAGCTTTACATCGTTCCCAAATGAAGTTTGACGGAGAAATTTAACTTTCCCAAGGAAATTTTAGAGCTAAAAGTATTTTGAAAAAAGCCTTACGGCTAGTTTCGCTCGAAGTAAGCATTTTGAAACAAAACCTCGAGTAAGTGTGAAGTGCTCCAGAGACCCATATTAAAAAAAAGAATTCTTTTTTTGATATCACAATCAATGTGATGAATAATATATTCTGCACATGTAGTCTTGGAAAGACACTCCAGACTTACTCGAGGAGCATTTTTTGACATTATGGTTTCGAATTTGACAGTTTTATGTCATCCTTTTCATGAAATCGATGTTGTCATGTGCCTCACTATTCCCCACTGAAAAAAAATTTAAAATTCCTGCAGGATCTTGCAGAATTTTGCGTAGGAAATCCGTGGGTTGTGTGTCAAACAATCCTGCGATGTTTCTTACTTTTACGCAGGATTTTTTTCGCCGTCGTCTCTACAGTTTTCGCGGAGGAGTAGCGTAAAAAAAAATCCTTTGTAAAGGTAAGAAACATCTCAGAACTTTTTGATATATTCAATTCACAAGTTGTGTTCGTACGAGATCTGGCAGGATTTTATTGGTTGGAAGAAAAAAGATTTTCTCCTCTGTGTCTATCCTGCGACATTAGGCAATCTTTTCTCACCAATGACTTTCCAGGGCGACTGTGGAGAAACTTGTCTGTATTTGTTATTTTTGGAAAGTTAAGTACTTTTACATCTTTTTCTTGTAAAGTTATAAAAACTTTTCTCGTGTCCAATAAACTTCTAGAAAATGTATACAGCATTGTTCTTTGTTTTTACCTCAAATTTTAAGAAAATACACCGCTGCGAAATATAATTCTTTACATGGCAATAACTACAATATTTTGACTATAACACACATTTTCATGTGTACAAAACCAAACTAGATTGCTGAAAAGATCTTTTTTATGTCAGAAATATTCCATTTTCTTCCATCAATAAGAAATTAAGGTCATTAGAATGATCCGACTACTCTGGAAAAAAAGAAGATATATAAAATAGCACAGCAGAGTTATCAAAATATTCTAATTTCTTCAGCTTTCAATACTCTATTGAATGGTATATAATTAGAAAACTTGGGTAAAAACATTTAAAAGTTATGGTTAAAATATTAGGATATACATTTTCTAGAAGTTTATTGGACACGAGAAAAGTTTTTATAACTTTACAAGAAAAAGATGTAAAAGTACTTAACTTTCCAAAAATAACAAATACAGACAAGTTTCTCCATGGTCACCCTGAACAGACATTGGTGAGAAAAGATTGCAGGATAGACTCAAAGAAGAAAAGTCTTGTTCTTCTAACCAATAAAATCCTGCCAGATCTCCTAAGAAAAAAACTTACGGACTGCCCTGGAAGAATTTTTCCTGGAAGACACCATTTCTTTTCTCCAGGATAAAATCCTATAAGCCTTCCAGGGTCACCGTAGTGAGATAACCTTTGTGATGCAAGCGAATAACAGATAGGAAAAAATTCCACAGGGTTAGCACCATGAATAGTCCTGTGAGATATGCCTGACGGACGCACGAAAATTTTTTTGTAGGATGTATGTGGTAAAAATCGTGAAAAAACAGTGATTTCCTGCAGTGATAACAAGCTCAATTCATAGCGAATGTAGTCAAAAGAGATAGAATAGAAACTTCATAAACTGCTACTGAATTAATAAAAGACGCTTGTAACTACCCAGTGTGACAATATAATTTCCAAAATAATTCGAAATAATTTCGCCCCGTTTTTCCTCATCGGTGATAACACTTAGATCAATTGTTGGACTTGTATTATCTGTTATTGTTGCTTTTACATCATCATCTAATCGATAAATGTTCACTGAACCTTGTAAAACGATATAAAATCTAAAATTGGAATACAGCAAAACGATCAATCTATTTTTATTTAATTATTGTCATACTTGTCTCCAACTTCTTCTTGACGTATTACGATTTCCCATGGTTGACGCCTTTCAAGGATAATTGATTTACAAATTTCGTGTATTACTTCTAAAGGATCAGATAAAAGATGGGTATATGTATACGGATTATTACAATTACAATATAATCGACTAACGTTTATAATTTGTTTATTCTTTACTTAACTTTCTTTCATTTATTTTTTAACGAGTTTCTATGTTCCATTGTCATCTGTTATTTTTTTTTTAACAAAATGCCTTTAAATATGTGGTTTCAAAGATCTTATTTCAAATTGTTCGTAAATCAATACAATGTAACATTCTCAAATTTAAGGACAAAAATAATACAAATAGTTGATTAAACGCGTATTTAAATAAGTTTCTGAAAGGATTCATCGATTATAACAAAGAACAAACAATATCTTACTCATCAAAAGAAAACACAAGATCACCATTGTCAATATTTTGAATGAGAAAAAATGGCACAATATTCTAATTCAGCTTTTTTTTGTCCATGTCTCATCCATAAACAACATCAATTAGAGATATCAGAAATATTGCTCAAAATGAGAAAAAATTTATTTATATTCGATATATCAACGTTCTCATTTACTAGAGACATGTTAATAATTAAATTTAGAACATTCATCTCATATTTTAAACATCAAGCCGGACGACGTGGGTGTAAACAATACAATTTTCAAGTATGATGATCAGAGAGAACGAAACTACTTGAAACATTACTCTTTGAAATATTCTGTGACACTAAATACCATATATATGTATATATATATATATATATACGTTGCACTTAATAAACGGAAGCATTGATACCTACTCATAAAAGTAATATTTATTCATTTCGAAAAGAAGAAAAAAAATTTCGATAGCGTTTAACTAACAAAAACTATTTTAAAAGCAAAAAATTGTAAGAAAATTTTTCTCAAATTCATTAAAACATGTTTTATCTGAGAAAATGAAGAGTAAAAGTTTCAATCGGTCAAATTAATCATATCATTCTAGTTAACACATTTGAGATACGTTTCGCTGTTTTTTACATTAAAAATTGAAAGTATCTTCATATATCTCTGACTCGATAGATGTAGAAGAAACTATTCTAACTCAACTAGAGGTTAGGTATGCTTTTCTATTACAAAGAGTAACAACCTTCTTTCGAAGATCTATCTTTTATTCTCTTCTTTTATAGCAATGTTTAAGAAAAAAAGTGATGAATTAAGTCATAAAAGCTCACGAACTTCATCGATTCTATAAATTATATTTCCAAATAAAGATGATAAAAAATGATATGATTTGATTTATATTTACCATCGCTAATTTTTTGAAATATTCCTTGTTTCTTCTTTAATGACGCTTTTAACCATGGAAATATAAAATCATTTACTTCTGTTAATGTACGGTCTTCTGGTTGTTTAATAGCGGCTCGTATTAATGTTTCATAATTTAAAGTCATTGTACAGTTATAAATCGTTCACAATTTTTTTCTCATATGACAAAACCATATATAGAAATAGTTGGGACATAAAAATGTATAAACTAAATTTTCTTTTTTTAAAAAAGAGAATAAAACACCACATTCGGCAGTTGGTAGTCATCGTTAAAGTTAAATAGAGAAAGAGAGAGAGAGAGAAAGTGAGAGAGAGAGAGAGACGAACAATATAATAAAATTACAGAGTAAAAAAATAAAATAAAATGATCAATAAAGTTTGTTATCTATTTTTCTCACTTTCTCGCATTCATCTAAACAATTAAACAATTTGTGTTGTTGTTATTCTTTGCCAAGGTAGACGGTGACAGTTGTACTCAGCATGAGTCCTTATAACAATCAACCAAAATTTAGGCCTCCTTGAACCAAAAAGTAGAGATTTTGTTTAAATTTGCTATATCGTTATGTCTGATAGAAATAGAAAGATACATTAATTTTCTTTTGTTCACAAATGTGTGGTTATCTATTTCGTAGATCCTTGCTCATGACTTGTCAAAGATTTTTTTCCTTTTTAAGCAAAAAACGTTTTCCTGGCGCGGTAGCGATTGCATTCAATAAGCATGACTTTGAATCGAGACCAGCAGCAATCGAACCACTTTTAAACCTCTAATTAGTATAACTCACTTAGTTTTGATTACTTTTTTTCCGATTTCTTACAGGTAGAGAGAAAAAAGTGTGATCTCCATAAGTCTGTCCAAAAATCTCAAAAAATTACTCTAAGCGAGCTTTTTCTATTTATTCTATGGAAGCAATTGAAAAAATTGCTGTCAATAGTATATTTCGGTATTCAGTTATCTAAAAGGGTGCATAACGTATTTTCATATAATTAAGGCAATTTTAACTAACTATTTTTAAATGAAATGACTACCTCCTAGTGATCATTATAAGAGTTTTATGTAACAAACAACTCGATCATGTATATGTCAAGAGACCCATTTAGGTGTCATCCAAAACGAACTTCACTATTTTTCTAAAAATTAAATGAGTTTTATATAGTAAGTACATCACACAAAACAAAACGGTGACTGACAGTCGAAACCTTTAAAAAATCGGAAAAAAAGTAATCAAAACTAAATGAGTTGCATTAACTTCGATTGAAAGCCATGCTTACTGAATGAAAATATTTTTTCTACTGAAAAAGGAAAAAAAAAATTTGACAAGTTATGAGCGAGGATCTACGAAATGGAAAACCACACATTTGTGAACAAAAGAAAAGTAATGTATCTTTCTATCTCTGTCAGACATACTTATGCAGAAAATATGAACCAGGTCCAGCCTTTCATGCTTCAGAAGCTGATCGATACTACATCGATGGTTCAGAAGCGTAGATGCCAAAACGTTCGTACATCCTTAGAGCTTCTCATCCTAGTCTAGGATTTGAGTCTAGCATACGCACCGAAAATAATGAGTAAACATTTGAGAGTCATTTTGATGTCAAGAGTTGATTTTCCAATACAGAGATGATATTTACACATAACTTCATTTGATACGAAAAGAAGCAGAACAATTCTTCAAATACAAAAGTTACAACAATGAGCTATAACTTGCTGAGCGTATGTTACGAGGCCGAGTCAAAGTCATCTTGTACAGCATCATGTAAACTGAGAGATAAAATAAATTTTTTTTAACTCTTTATGAGGACTTAGTATTACGCGTCTATTTCTCATTGTTAGGATAACATATAATACCATAGAAAATAAAAGCAGATATAATTTCATTCAGAAATGGGCAGCTCCAACTCCACAGTTAAGCTTATTTTTAGTGAAGCCGACCTTGAGTTGAGTTTAGATTTTTTCAATTCCAGCTCCACAACTCCAGTTCAAAAGTCTTACAACTTCTACAGAAAGTGAAAATAGTTCAGTTATTTTTCAAAAGAAGATAGTAAATCCGATTTTAAGTAAATTAGTTCAAAAACTATTATGCGTACCGGTCACATCAGCAGCGGTTAAGAGAGTCTTCTTAGAGTGTTTTTCTTTTCCGATCTCATCGATGTAGAATGACAAAAAGTATGCTCTCAAAATCAACATTGCTGAAATGCAATTTTGAATTGTTAAAAAGACATTTTTTTGTACATACTCTTGTAAACAAAAACAAAATAAACTGCTGCTAAAAGTAAAGAAAACGAATCAAAACAAAATAAGTTCTTATCGAAGTTGGGATCTGCGGAACTGGAATTGAAGTTAAACTTAGCCGGAGTTGGCCATCTCTGATTTTATTATCATATGTCATAATAGAGGTGAAGTTTTGACTCTATAAAATAGCGTTGTTCGAGTAAAAAGACTAATAAGCGATGTCAGCTCTATACATATTTCTCATAACGATTGTGAATTATATTTTTTTGTACATTCGAAAATAAGCTTCACTAAATTGTTTAAGCTCAAAGTTAACTATCCGCTACTTATGTAAAAAACTCCAATTCCAATAAAAAGTCAACCATAAGATTATCAGGAAAATAGCGGGTGAACAATAATGTAAAATCTCTTTCAATAGTTGTTCTTAACGTTTTTATTAAGAATCTGTGCTTTCAACGGTTTGGCGCTTTGTTTTCAACGATTTATTTTCGTCTAATATTCGTGAAGTATTTTATTAACTACTTTTTTAGTTGTCCATTTTGTATGTTAATGTTTGTCGTAATGAAAGATGCCATTTAAAGGTAACTTGTTGGAAAGAATTTACTCCCTTGGTAGTAAAATAGATGAGTATCACTCGATTGACTCAAAATATCCATTAAAATTCACAACAGGATGTTATATTCTGCTGGCATTGTCTGGCTTCATTTTTTATCGATATTCCACAAAAAACAGAAAATATGATGAGAAAATTGGAAAAATTCATCGAATGTCACTCTGGTTATCCATGTGTAGTGTTCTTCTAGTGTGTATTCACTTGAATATCTACTTATTTTTACAAACAAAAGCACAAAATAATGTTTTTATACGGCTACTATTTGCATTTGAATTTTTATTGATGATTGTTTATTACGTTTTATTTCTACCTTCAATCGGAATAGCGTGTTTACAAATGTATCGGATATGGATTCACTATCGAGATACAAAGTTTGAAAAAATTATTGACTATTCACAATTCCCACATGGATTTGTTGCACTTTTATATTTATTCATCACAACTGTCTCTTACATGATGCTTCATCTTGTTGCTTATTACTGGATGGAAATTTCATTATTTATAGCTTTATTTGGTATTTTATAAAACTGTGAATAGAAAATAACTTAGAAAGCTTCATAATCAAAAAAAATTATTGCTTTATCAGGAAATAATTACTTTCGAAAACAAAGCACATGACGGTAAGAAACAACGTACTTTCGACAGAACATAATAGTGCTCTCTCTTAGCAGATCGGGTAACTACGACTATTTATAAAAACTAAATGTCTACCGAGTTTGTTCTTTATTTTCTCTAACATACTGCTATTGGTTTGGAAAAACAACCTACGTATACGAAAAATAAAAGCAAAACACAAATGAAATAATTCCTACAGCCGTAGTTTTTGTCAAAAAAGAACTCTGTGTAGATACACAAATGAGAGAAGACAGGGAAAAAATAAACATAAAAAAAATTATAAAGCACGATAAACATTTTGGATTAAGTTTTTAACACTAGAAAATTGTTTTCCCGAGAACTGTTAAATAAATGCTATCGAAAACAGGATTCAGCTGCAAATATTTAACTATTTATGAAAAATTAATCGCTTTTCCGGCATAGGATTGTAAATTTGCCTCTTTGAATGACTCAGACCAAGTCTAAATTAAAAAACAACAAAAAATGATATGAATTTTCAACAAATATATTTTGTAGTACATACTGGATGTGCATGACAAACTCGAGCGATATCTTCACTAGACGCACCATATTCAAGTGCAAGTGAAGCTTCGTTGATTAATTCACCAGCAACCTAAATGAACAAAATATAAATTACATGATCATAAATAAAAGGTTATATCAGAGCAAAAATTTTTAGTACTTACTGAATTGACTATATGTGCTCCAAGTAATCGATCCGTTTTTTCATCCGATAAAACTTTAACAAATCCATCTGTTTCATTAATTGTTTTCGCCCGACTATTAGCTGCCATTGGAAATTTTCCAATTTTATACTTAATACCCTAAAATAAACGATGATAAAATAATTACGATATTAAATAATGAATGTCACATACTTCTTCTTTTAGTTGTTCTTCAGATTTTCCAATCCTGTCGAACAAAAGATTATTATAGTGTTTATTCTCATACGTTTGTTAAACGACATACCACGCTACTTCGGGAAACGTGTAAATAACAGATGGTATACAATTGTAATCGATATGTGGATCGTGTCCCGTTACGATACTTTCAACACATATTATACCTTCATCTTCAGCTTTATGCGCTAACATTGGACCTTGAATACAATCTCCAATCGCATAAATACTTAAAAGAATAAATGTTATTCTAACATTGCATTTCGGCCGCATCTATCTCTTACATACTTTTTACACGACGTTTGAAAACGTTTATCGACATCAATTCTTCCACGTTTGTCCAATGTGATACCTACAAAAGAAAAATTAAGGTGTATTTCTTGTTCTTTGTTTAAGAGATCTTGAGTCTTACCAACACTTTCGAGTCCAAGATTTTTAGTATACGGTCTTCGTCCAATACAAACTAATACTGAATCGCAGTCAAGCTAAGAAAAACTCTCACAATAAATATATCTTATACATACTTTTAATGTAACTTACTGTTTCTTTTTTATCGCCTCCTTTTGCGCCTTCAACATGTACTTTGACTCCTGAATCCGTCTTTTCGGCACCAGTCACTTTTGTATCTAATTTAAATATTAAACCTTGTTTGGTTAAAATTTTTTGAAATTGTTTTGACACTTCCATATCGATGCCTAAACCTCCAATATGACTTAAAAATTCGACACAAATCACTTCTGCACCAAGACGACTCCATACGGAACCCTTAAATGAAATAAACACAATAGAATCATCTCGAAAATTTTTTTGTCTATATACCAGTTCAAGTCCAATAACACCAGCACCTATTAGTACCATTCTTTTTGGCACTTGTTTTAATGATAAAGCTCCGGTTGATGAAACAATTGTTTCTTCATCAATCTATTGAATCGAGAAATTCAACAGCGTACTACTAATATAAAATGAAACTTGTTAAATGTTTTCATACTTCTATGCCAGGGAATGGTGTCACTTCGGAGCCAACAGCTAGGAGAATATTTTTTGCATTTAGTGTTTCAGTTGATCCATCGTCTTTTTTCACTGTTACTTGATTTTGTCCACTTATTGTGCCGAAACCTCGATAACCTGTTACCTGCAAAAATAAAACAAAATAGAAAATATTTAGAAATATGAGTCTAACACACAGAGTATTCGAAGGTTTTGGTGAATAAACGAGATATGCTTCTTTCTGATATGAGCAGGGTATAACATGGGTGGATGACTTACCTTATTATTTTTAAATAAATAAGCTACGCCATTCGTTAAACCTTTGACAGCGTCCTCTTTTTGTTTCATAAACACCGGAAGATTTAAATTTACTCCCTGAACTGGAAACAGATTCCGAATCAATAGAAACAAACATTTAACGATGTTTCTCCTTGCTTACATTCGATTCCTCGTTTCTGTAATTCACCATGTTTAGCCAAATGATATAGATGTGAATTGTGTAACATGGCTTTTGAGGGAATACATCCCACATTTAAACACGTACCACCGTAAGTCTCATTTTTTTCAACACAAGCGGTCTGAAAAAAAATATACACATAGTGAGATTCTCAAAATAAATTTTCTTTGTGTTCATTATACCTTTAAACCAAGTTGTGCTGCTTTGATAGCAGCAACGTAACCACCTGGTCCGGATCCGATGACAACCAAATCATACTGGTCTTAAAAAAAAGAAAAAGTGAATAAACAGTGAGTGTTTTAAAATGAGAGAAGGATACATACCTCCACTAGAAGATGCATATCGTATTTGATTGACTGAACATTTTAAACAGTTTTGGAAACAAGTTGTTGTGGCCTGTAGTAAAAAAACTATATTTTAACAAAACAAATTTAATTAAATATATCTTACTTTAGATATTCGTAGCGGTACTTGAGAGAACATTTCATTGATCTAAAATACATCGCACCGTTCAAGATAAGTTGTCAGGAGAAAAGAACGATGTATCATTAAAAAATAAACAAACACGCTTTGAATTATATTATTTTCTGAAAACAAAAATTGTCACTATAAAAATGAATTCAAGTGTTATAGTCTCTAATTGTTCAAAAAATAATTTTTATTTATTAAATTTTAAAATACTATAATAGAATTTTATCTTGCATGTACTGTGGAAAAATAAAGCTTGTATTAATAAAAAATGAGACTTGGATCTAGCACGAAACATTACCTTTTTCTGAATCAAACAATAAACGAATTTTTTCGCTAATGAATTTCATCTTAATAGACAAATATGCCTTCATATAAATCAGACTAAAATTATTTACATTTTTAAATAAATCCCGTAGTACTTGAAAATGTTTCATAAAAGTCCTTAAATGATCGACTTAAGTATGTAAAATTAACACGTAAGTATACAAAACGAAGGCTTAAGTTAGACTGAAGTCTAGACTTAACTAAGTCGAACACTTAAGAATTTTTATGAAACACCCTCCTGTAAGTTAATACTAAAGGTTGGTGTTGGAGAAACTATTTTATAAGTTGAGTCTAAACCAGAAATTCAGAATTAGCGCTACAAAAAAAAATAGTAAACGATCATTACATCATAACAGACTGTTGAGTGTTCGTTCACTGCTATATCAGTGTACGCCAAAAAATAGAAGCTGGATCAACACTCACGAGGAAATCTTCCCCACGTAATAAATCACTCTTTCTGTGAAACAGTTTCTTGAGTTATTTTCGATGCTAACCAGAAATAGGTCTCCATTGCTAGTACTACCTATGCTAAGTATCGTCCTGTAAGAATGTGGTCTCGCTCGACCCATCCGACACCTACGACTGAAGAACTTTTGATGCGTCCCGTTTGTAGGGCTAGTCAAGTCAGCCATATAGTAAAGCTTTCAAATCAAACCAACAAGTTTTTGCGCAGATATGAGATTTATGTGATATTGATTTCTGTAAAGATTTGAGTATACACTGTTTGTATCTTCATGAGTACCCCTTATGTGTAATTTGAATAACTCACAAAAAACTGTTTCACAGAAAAAGGGATTTTTTACAGCCCTAGCGTCTTCAAATCACACGTGCTAGAACCAAAGTGCTAGAATCCGCACTTTATCTTGTGTAACTGGAAACTATGTAATTTGATTTTACAAATTACCAATTCTTAACGTAAAAGCGCCATCTAGTATACAATTTTTGAAAAGGGAATAAAAAATCCGTCAATGTCAACAAAGCCAGACGAAGTAATAAAAAAATAGAAATCGCTGTTTTTGACATTTCATTATATTTTTCAAGTTGAGCTATTATTTTCAAAACCAGAGATCTTCTCTCATACGTTATCATGGCGTTTGAAGAAAATTCATTACCGTTAAAACTACGCCCATATGCTTGTGATTCTAATACTTGTATCGAATTTAAATTAATTCGTGAAGTTAATGATCTTGAAGATGCCAATCTTTCGTTTCATCCTGAAATGACTCATCAAATATATGGTGAAAATGAACAAATATTTGGTTATAAAAACTTATACATTCAAATGTATTATTTATCTTGTTCATTAGATTTATATTTAAGCATTAAATATGATGATAAAATAACACCAGATAAAGCCGATGGAATAGAACCAGATGATATAAGGGAACCACTCTTGAATTATTTACCAAATAAATTTTACACAAATCTTGATAGATTTCTAATGCAGCTGAAAATTCAACCAAAAATTCAACCTTATGGTCATCAATTGCACGCTTATCGACTATCTGATCGAACATTTGAAATATACAAAGCAGATTTTAATTGTGCTGGTTTTCGCGATTTCCATCAACGTCTACGAACATTTTTAATATTTTATATTGATGCCGCTAGTTATATTGATGAAGATGATGATAAATGGGTTATTTATTTGTTGTATGAACGATATTTGAACAAATCGGGAGAACAATGTTATGGAATTATTGGGTATATGACTGTATATTTGTATTATGCATATCCAGATAAAATTCGACCAAGAATAAGTCAAGTGCTTGTATTACCGCCTTATCAACGATCTGGTAAGATATTTGTGAGATTAACACATGATTTTCTCTGGAATTTATTATGATAAAAAGGAGAAAAATAATACCTCTGATCAAGATAGTTAAAATCTATTGAGACGCTCGCTAGTTTTTATAAACGAGAAATATTCCTTCAGTTTACTTGCTGTAATGGTTTGTCCTTAAACCTTATGTCTTTAAATGATTCTAAATGTAACTGGATCGATTTCACTAATAGCTTTCCTTCTATTACCGATAAACTTTATTACTCTTTTGGTGTTGTTTGGCTTGAGTCATTGTTATTACAGGTCGATGACCTGTGATGACTCTCACTTTTCGTGAATAAAACACTCTTAGTCTTAGTCTTAACTATCCTTTTCAGTTAATTTCACGGCAATCAACCGTGATGAAACTGTGGTTCTTCTTGGAGTAAGATTACATGATTTAAGTTGGAAAGCGCATGTCAATGATATAACTTTAGCTGAGTGTAATGTGCAGGATATCCAAGCAGACTCCTAAGTCTCTTCGTTTAAAATTATATTACGTCATGCATTTAAGTTGGATTACTGTAGTGTGGTGTATGACAGTTATTGGCATAGCTCTGTTTTAGATAAGATTACGACGTTAGCAGCAAGGCTTATCTGTAGAAAGTTTAACGGTTCTGTAAGTGATTTAGTCGTTAAGTTAAAACTTCCTAATCTCACGTTAAGAACGAAATATTTCCGATTAATTCATTTTTTTAAAATTAAAAATAGTTTGTCATCTTTCTCAGCTTTTCAATTACTTCTTATCAACTATTGGACGCTCGGTTAGACTCCGCTATGACAGGCAAAATGCTCATCAGTTTAATACTATTGCTGTCAAAAAGGCTCGTGTGGCATCCTCATTTTTCTATAGAACTTCGATTGAGTGGAATGCATCGTCTGAAAATGTTGTTTCACGTCGTTCTGTAACTCATCTTAAAGGAGCTCTTCGCTTTTTTCTCAAAATGTAACAGTCAATGAGATTGATTTTCATATAAATCCATTGTTCAAAGTTTAATTTCTCAATTCTTTTGAACAACATGTTAGTGCTATATCGTTTATTAACTATGAATTACTTTCTTGATCCTCTGTAGGTTTTTGTTTACTTTCTCTAGTTAAGATGGTGCGACTAGTTATAAGGTCACACTTTTATCTGCTTTCTTGTGCAATAAACTGTATTTTTATTTTTTCTATGTGGAGGATTATTTGTTGCCAAAATAAAGTCAGTTCAGTTCTTAGTCTGTTCAATATGTCACAAATGATTAAGGAAGTAAGGATTATTATGGAATTTCAGTGGGACAGAAAATGTGCGACAGTGAGACCCTTTTAGAACATACATTTAAAACTATCATCGTGATGTTTCTAAATTTTCTAAAAGATATTTTTCGTCAGATTTTATGTGTATTCTCCTGAGACAGCCCTCGATATTTGGGAAACGCACTATAATGTTGATCGATATCTAAATCACATTACGTTGTATCTAGTATTATTTTCTTTTTCAAGGTCATGGTAAACGTTTGTTGGAACGTGTTTATAAAGATTTTAAATCGGAATCAAATATAGTTGATATCACGGCCGAAGATCCATCGGGAGAATTTGTCTCATTACGTGATTATGTCACCGTTCAATTATGTCAAACAATGAATATATTTTCTGTAAATAATTTGAAACAATCTGGTTTTACGAAAGAAATGATTCAAAAAGCTCGTGATGAATGGAAAATAACACCGGTTCAAACACGTCGTATTTATGAAATATTATTATTAAAATATACAAATGTTCATAATGAAGATGAATTTAAACAATTTCGATTAGATATTAAACAGCGTTTGTATCAACCGATTAAGTTTAATAAAAAATCCCATGCACTTCTTCAAGATCCAGCATATCAGGCTCTATTAACGGATCCTGATAAACGAAAAGCATATTTAGAAAAAGAATTTCAAACGGTTTATGAATATTATCAAGAAATTTTACATAGTTTAGATAAACAAAATTAAATATCAATCACACGTCGATGTCAGCCAGTCAGATAAAGGAAAAACATTTGTGTTGACCTCTCTCTCTCTCTCTCTCTCTCTTTTTCTTTCTTTGTGTTGTACAAATTGACTATAGCTTTTTTCTTGAAAAACTTCTATTTTTCTATAATTCAAAGATGTATGTCAATAAAGAAATTTTGTTAATGAAAGATTATCTTTTTTTATCCTGAAAAAAAAAGCACGAGAGGAAGAAAGTAACACAGATCTGGAAACAACTGTTCTTGACTGATGTGACAAATTCTCGACGTTCAGATCAACGATGTGATTCAATTCGAGTGGAAATCGACTGATGCATATGGGGAAAAAAAAGCCGTATATGATTTGCTCGGAGGAACTGTAAGTGAAAAAATTCCTCTATTTGTATTAAAATATTGATGAATTATTCAGTTAGCCACGACCAAAGTTTCTTTGTCTCGGAATACTGCGTTCTATATCCCAGAATTAACAATGTGAAGCGTTAGTGAATATTCATCTTCTTCCTGGTGAAAACTGACGTTTTTTTTTTCTGACGTCTATTTTAAAAACGACGTTTTTCAAATACAGTTGATCAGTGCATAAAAAAGCTTTATATAAGCAGCAGTTTCATGAGATTGATCAAGAGTGAACGTTTTCCTAATACATTGTTTCGTTCTCGACCAGTTCTCGCACTAACAAGCAGATTATATACCCCTATAAACCTTTACTGGCAGCAAAAACGGAGCATTAAATTTCAATGGTCGATCGAATTTTCGTATAATTCCTATTCAAAATGTATTTCTGATACAGAAATATAAATGACTACACTCAGATGATTACAAAACGATCATCAAAACAGCGTAATAAAATATACGTAATAAAATATAAGAACGAGAACAAATACACTTTACAAATATTACAGAAAGACAAACAACACAACGACACGAATAAAACATTTAACAAAATTTGCACTCAATAGCTTATTTTTCTGCTAAAATCTGACTATATGAAATTTGCATTGAATGAGATCGTCGATATCAATTAGATTACTTCGTGATTTATCACACTACAAAATCGTTTCGTTGCTATGGTTGAAACATCAGATATTGGTCTTATTTGTAATTTGTTTGCTCCGTCTTCATATATTTTACGTTTTTTAAATAGATTACTGATGATATCACTATCATTAAGATCAGTGACCATATTGTAGTTACTATTAGAATCATTTGCTGTAAAGGATGACGCAATACTACGGTCATTTTGATATGATGACGAAGGACTGAATAAACTATCTATTGCATCTCGTAAGCACCCAGAGATATTAGGCATTATATTAAAATTTGTATGAGCCTACAAAAAGAAAGAAAGTAGTACAAGTCACGTATAATTTGTTTCTTCAAATATATATAATTTGTCATTTTGCTTTCTCAGTTAGGATCTTGCAGTTTTTATGTTTCCTTATCTGTTTATTTGTTTGGAGAGAGTCATCGGTTACAAGTCCGGGACCTCTGATGATCTCTCATTTTACCCAAATAAAGGCATTCACTCATGTTCGTTTATCGTTGTTATAATAAAGCTTAAATTGACTGTAAATACACAATTACAAATTGTATTTACAATTTCTCTTTAAAAATGCTTAATTAGCAACTAAATCCAAAGATTCAACACATACATCCGGCTTTTGACTGTACAAATAGAAGCTTTTCGTCGAAAAAATTTGTTAAAAAAGCGAGCTGTCACAGTTCTAACTATTGGTAGCCCAGAACTTTTCTCTCCACAGAATGAGTATGAGGAAAAGAGAAAAACTTACCATAATACAGAAACAAAAAAATATAATTGTTCAAACAAAAAGAATATTAATCGAACTACAGGCTGATTTATCTGAAATGAGCGATACAGAAATCATCAAGTACAATCGGACTTGAATGAAACAAAGTAGTTATGGAAGAAAAAAACAATGGAGAACAGACATTCTTCTCGTGATTAAGGTGTATCTATTAAAGCTGGGAAGTACATATAAAAGTTTTATCGTTTCCATTTTTTTCGCGGTAAACTTTCGTTATTGCTTTAAGGATTAGAATATCCGATTTAGCCTGCTTAGTAAAGATGGCCATTCTACTCCTACGAAACTGATTCTGTTTACAAAACAGGAGAATATTTGACACATACATAAAACAAAACTCAAAAAAATGAGACAATAAAAAGAAATATCAGAGAGGAAAAATTACACTCTATTAAATATTAAAAGTTTTAACTGGTAATTGTTTTCTTGAAAAACAGAAAAAAATATTTATCATAAAAAGGAACAGCATTATCAAGAATAAATATTTCTTGGACGGATGAGAATTAAAAACTATGGATTTGACAAATGACATATTTGAATAAGGAATAGTGTTCATTTTGCTTGACATGAATTTAATAGACTGTGCAATGATGTAGCAAAAGCTAAAATGAAAGATACGTTGTCATCGGTCGAAAAACTGATAGGTATATTTTCTCACCAGCTGGATTTCGATAAAATGCACAGTTATTAGCGCACTTAAACGGATCTGCTTCCCATATTGATTCAAAACAACTGCACATACACGGAACATCAATATCCAAATTCAGACAACGATTTTTTAACGATGTTTTCAGTGCGAGTATGTATCTGCATACGAAAATAAACAGCTAAAATGCTATTAGACAATCGTATCAAAGAAAATTATTTATTTACCGTTCAAGTTCCTTTCTTTTCTGCTCTCGTGACCGTTGTTTACTAATCTTTTGTAATACTACTGGATCAGTACTATTAACATCAATAACAGTTGTATTTTCTAAAAATAGAACATTTTCTCATTTTTATTCACGAAACAGCAGCAAACTTCTTAACAACAAAACGAGCTCTAGATAATAATATTATCGATATGCTAACAGTGGAATCAAGAAGCTGTCTCTAAATCTGCTATTGCGTGCATTCAATCTTCTATTCTTGAAAGCAATATTCTGCAGTCCGAAATCGGGGAAAGTATTGACAAGGTTTACAGACAAACTCAAGTGAAGATATGACTTACATAGAAAACAAATTCTCAGTTCACTTCGTTTTTGCCGATTCTTTCGAGATAATTACCAATATATTTCGTTTCTTCACTATTACCTTTAATTTCTTGAGCAAGCAGTTGTTCTTGATGTAAACGTTCATTTTCTTTTAATTCTTTCAACCTATAAAAAGAGAAAAAGTTTTTTTTCGCAAATTTCAAACTAAACAATTCAGTGAGTTTCATACCGATTCATAGTTTTTTGTTCTTTTTTTATTTGAGTAGATTCTTTTGCTTGTCGACGTTCGAGCTCCATAAACAATTGTCTTGTTGCTTGTAAACGTTTTCGATTTTCTATAGTAACTAATCCATCACGCATTGACTCTAGTTAAACAACAATGAATCTGTCAAAGAATCTACTCGAAAATTGGTACAACTTACTATTGAGAGCCCTTAGTGCAAATGAGGAAAGCTTTGGCTCGCTTGTTGATCGTTGCAATGAATCTAGAGAACAATAACACGATCACCAAATTTTATGATTTCAATCTGAACAAACTTACATATAGTAGACTGATCATGTTGCCGGTTTTCTCCATCTTCGGTCTAAGACGAAAATGGAAATTTATGCCATAAGCTTGAAAGCATAAAGAATGAGAAAGAAACATATACCAGTGAAAGCTTCTTAATCCATGATCCCATAGATACACCATCATCGACAAGAAACTGCTGTGTTGTTTCATCTTTGTCATTTTTATCCAAATGCATATCTTTGATCGGTAGTGGTTCCATGGATAAGTTATTATTGTTTGAATTATAGTCGATAACGGACACTTCTTGTTTTGATGCCAGACGCTGCCGTATATGACGTAATTTTGTTGATGATTTAATATCTGATGGCGATTTTGTTTGTTTGTCTTCATCTATATTGAGAAAAAATACAAAATTTAACAATAAACAGCAGGTGCAATTTAAGAGCTCTGCTTCTGTCAGCATATGTTCAGTAACAATCCATAATGAAGTAGAAATAAGACCAAAAACACTTCTTTGCTTTTACAAATAGTACTGGATAATAGGAAAATGGCTCAATATCACGTACGCACCTGTACATAAAATTGTTGCATAAATAACATTATCATTAGCATTATTTAGATCTGAATCAATAAAATGCGTCGAAGGAGTGTAAGAACCAGGACAAATTGAGACCTTTTCAATCTAATAAACAAAATAGTGATAAACTTATTAGATATATAGGGAAAGTTGAAGAATTACAATGTTTTGCGATGATTTCTTTTGTGCATCTTGTTGTGCCTGTCGATAAAGTTGTAGCCGCCTTTTTATATAAAAATCAACATTTTCTATTTTACGTTTTTTCTCGTCGAAATATTGATCAACAAAGTTGCTGTATAACTGAGCATTCCGCTGAAAAAGAAGGATTTTATAACAAATATAAAAGTAACGAAATTCCTGCTAAAATTCTTACTGCTGCATCATTCAGTTCTAGCATAATAAGCAGTACTATCTAAAAATGATAAACAAAGCTAAAACCAAGCAAAAAAAAATTTTTCAAAACATATTCAGCTATGTGAAAAGAACGGAATCAAATTTCTCACAAATCTGGATTCTGAACAGGTTGAAATAACACTACCGAGTGTAGTGTACCAAAGCGCTTTGATACATGGCTGAGAAGAAAGCTGCGGAGAACATCAGGATTCTAAGACGCGGATAAATATCGCTTGGGAATTAAAAAAAAAAAAATATATAAAATTATAAAATTGGGAATTTTTTGTGCAAAAAATTTAACAGAATTTCTCTCTTTCACTCTTCTACTACTTGGAACTTTTATACGTCAAGACCAAAAGTAAACTAAACTACTTCAACTAGGATTTTCTAACCGAAATGCTCAAAAGTGTATAACCATAGGATGAGAACCATTAGGACCAAAAGATAGAAGCAAAACTTCCCGATTAACATAGTTTTAGATATTTTAAGTTGATTATAACGAATTACTATTCATATTTCCCTGACTATAACATTTAATTAGGTACACTCGCACCATCGAAAACTGACAAGAGAAACATCCTATGTTTCATAAAATTTCGGTCTCTAAGGTCCATTTTGTGCACTGTTTTTCGGAAAATTTTGAAAAGATATTTTGTTTGTATTAGCAAGAGAAGAAAACCATACTGATTCTCGTTAACTCATTATTTAAATTCATCTAAAAAAAAAAGAAAAAAATTTAAAATACGGAAGCAGAGGTCGCACCCACACACGTTTTTCTTGTTTAAATATATCACCATAAAAACTGCGTAAGTTTTTTCTGTTTATATTTTGAAAATTTCTCTTGTGAAAATGAATCTAAATAAATATTGCATTAGAATAAGTGAACTAAACAATAAGTGAAGTATCTTTTGCTACACTAATACAACTATCTTTCAGAACGTTTTTAAAATAAAATGAAATTGATAGAGACCTTGAAGGTCTATGAAATTTACTACTTCTTATGTTTATTTTCTCCGAACCCGAGAAAAATTAAAACGCTGCAAAAAACAGAACAGAGTGGTCATAAAATCACACTGTATTGGTGATTAGTACATACCCAGGTCGAACGATACGGTCCATATACGAACGGTCTACTGGACGCAGGAATACGGACTGTAACATCATTAAAATAGGGCCGTATACGGCCCGTAAACGGTACCGTTTCTGGGCACAGTAATACGGGGTCGTATACTGTGAAAATACGGCCGTATACGGCCCTATTTTAATGATGTTACAGTCCGTATTCCTGCGTCCAGTAGACGGTCCGTAACGGATATCCGTTTTGCTCGACCTGGGTATGTAAGACACTCAGAGTTGCCAGATGCTTAGGTCAGAACAGCGGAATAAAAAGTCGAATAAGCAGAATTTTTTTCCAAAATGAGGAAAAAACGCGGAAATGCATTTTTCATGGTATTAGTTCATTTTTCACCAAATGCAAACGCTATGAAAACAAAATTTTCTAGCGCTTTATGGTGGTTCCACTTAAGAAACACAAAAGAAGTACGAAACATCATTTAAATCCCAATTTGAATCAATACTGGCTTTTTGTGAATGCGTGCTTTTGATCAGTCGTCATGAATTTCAAGAGTTATGTATGGTAGGAGTTGGCTTCCTTGAAGGTTTAGCATTTCACTATTTTTCACACTCCCTTTCAGCAGCACTTGAGACACGCTAATGTTTTTCTGTTAGCGCTCACTTCTGGGACAAATTTCTGTCTAATTTCTGTCTTTATTATTTTCATTTGTGAGAACTATGACTGATCCTGTCCAGTCACAAGTTGGCTGAATATATCGATTTACTTTTATTTCAAAAGGAAACGAGCAAGGAAGGAGTAGACGTGGGTGGGACATGGACCAAAAAAGTTTTTTTAACGGAACTGGAACCGGGATCGAAACAACTTTACGGGGGATCGGAACCCGGACTGAAAAGCCTTGGTCCTGCCCATATCTAGGCACGGTCGGGATCGTCCCGGTCCCGACATTACTGGAATCCACGGCCGTAAATAGGAAGTCAACTTGGGGAGTGTAAAAAATTTTTAAAGCTTAAAGTTTTTTGTGGGGGTTAGTAAAAAAAATTTTCGCTGTGCGACCAAAAATAACGAAAAAAAATTTTAATTTCCGCTGGGAGCAAAGAACAAATTTTTATTTTGGGGAGGTGTACACCCCCACACACACGCAAATTGCGGCCCTGCTGGGACCGGGACTGGAACCGGGATCGAAACAACTTTATGGGACCGGAACCAAAAAACCTTGGTCCCGCCCATATCTAGTAAGAAGGTATCACTTTTCGTGTATGCATATCTTTCTGTTCCTCTTTTTTCCGATCGACGAGTTGAGACGAAGGAATCTCCGCACATGGGATATCTTATGTGGAAAGAGATATCCCCTTATTTGCTAGTTCTCTAAAGAGTCTGAAATAAAACTTTCACTTTTATTCTCGAATGAATGTAAAAGTAGTGGAAGAGAAGCGAATAATGTTATTCATTTTGTATCGCTCGATAATCAAACGTTAGCCGTATATAGGAAGGAAAAGACGTCTATGCCTCTCGAAACGTGTGAATGGTAGTGGTTTCTTACGAATATCATCTTATTTCTAATGATCTTTCCTCTACTTTGCTTTAGTCACAGCTTTCTCAAGGGAGCAGAAAGCGAGAAGGTGAGTGTTATTACTTGATTTTGTTTTCTAGATTGAGAAATTGAGTATTATTGAAATGTTTTGACACAATGTTGAAATACTTGATTACATATCATAGTTTAGAATGAGTCATAGACGACGGACTCAAGGATCTCAGCCCCACTCATTCTATATTTTAACATTTCGTTAAAACATGTGATTTGATCCATGTATACAGGATAGGGAATGAACCCTTGACTTGAGCAGTTTTCTTAGAGCAGTTTGTTTCGGTTTTGCCTCGAAGAAAGAGCAGGTGCATTTTAGGTCATTTCTGCTTTTTTATTGATCTACCTGTGGTTTTTAGTGTCCACAATAAGATAGACAAAAACGCAAATACTGTATTCTCTTATCTGACATCAATACGGTTCAAAAGTTGCTACTGATAACAAAATGTTTAGAAAGCTTTTACTATCCGTGTATTCAAGAACGACCTCCGTTTTACTCTCATTTGTTCATAGCTCTGTAATTGTCATGGACGAGTTGAAGTCGTCCTCCATTTTGAGATGTTAATTATGATCGCTTGGCTGAGAAAATTAAACCGGTCGTTGAGAAGTCTCATGTAGTCCTCGGTGCTACAGATGTGTAACAGATGTAGCGAGGACAATTTGTGGCAACCTTGCTAATTTTAGATATGTTGTCTTCGAATCTTTCCATATGCAAAATTACCATAGTTTGTACATGCCTTAAAATATTTACACTTTTGATATCTTATGACAATATAATTGGAATATACCGATAAATTCGTTGTTAAACTACGTCAGATAGATTTTCAAACCCGTTCTCATAGACGGGAATAATTTTTTTGTTTTATAGCTCTAAAGTTAAAATTGACCACAAAGTTTTTGTAAAGCAATAAAAAGTGTTGAAGACAGAGTTTATTCACTTTAAACATAAATTCATAGAGTATGTTAACTCATTTCATTTAGGATTTGATGATTATGTGGGGATGAATATTTTTTTCCTTCACTTGCAGTTACAATCAATTGTACATCACAAAGATGTAGTGTAGTAACTAGACCTGTAACAGTTCCAGCTCATAAGTTCAGCTCATTTGAGCGAAAGAACTGTTGAACAGTTCTTTTGAAAGGAGCTGATATGTTTGAACAGCTCTTTTGAAAGGAGCTGATATGTTCGAACAGC